CTCTTTGGCGGCATCGTGGATCGTCGCTTGTCTCTGGATACCAACTGATGTAGGGCGTAGTACAATTGGAAAGAATATGAGATACTCTCTCACAAAAGTTCACAACGCAGAAATATTATTCATCAAAAACTGTCTCGTTCTGTTTCCCCCAACCCAGATAAAAGTAACAAGAGTCCTAACATATCTTGACTACCAAAGTAATTATTTATCTACTAATTAAATATCTATAGAAATAAAATGCACTAAAAAGAAAATATAATAAGAAATAAATGAACTAGACCTGGAGACGATGGTATTTGTTCAGAAAAGTTATTGCGAGCTCGTCTCTATCAGTAACTAACCAATCAAATTCATTTCAAATTCACCTAACAATTTCAAATTCAGACTTTTATAACTCAAATTCAAACTCAATTTAATTATTTTTGATGTTATCAATATAATTAAATAATATCAAACAGTCATCTTAATCATCACATTAACTTTATTTAACTATTTATCCACTCGCATATTTTTAACTAACGATCAAATTCAAATACTTATCTTCTACTTTTTACATCACATCGTTTTAAATGTTCAATTACAAACTCAAAATCTAATCCAAAACTCCACTCACCAGCTTTTTTTTTTTTGAACTTTATTTCACTAAATAATCAAAAACACATCCAAAAACTTATATCTAATAACACCCTTAATACTCATGGTCCGGGTCAAATCGTGGCCAAAGCCAACTATTTTAGACGTTTTTTAAGAAAATATGAATATTCATACTATGACTGTTATATTTGTGATATTTCATAATACAATTATATTATAAAAAATAAAAAGAGTATGATAACCTAATTAATAAATATACAATACAATACATAAAATCTACTCTTATATAATAATAGAGTGCTCGCGGTAAATAATTCATGCCTTTCTTGACTAATTTGATTTAGTTGTAATTATAGTTAATAATTATTTTTTTTTTACAGATCACTTGTCTGAATATTACAGCCATATGGCTTGACTGTTATATAAACTGCGTAATAAAATATTTTTAGTGGTTACTAATTAAGATCACCTTGGAATGTTATGGATTTTACAATTGTTCTAAAGTTGTTTACGTATGCCATTTGATTGAGTGTTAGATAAAAACTGGTATTGATTCCTTTGGATTGAGATTAAGGTCATAAAGTTACATTCGCATGCTATTTTTCCAAATCCCAAATGGCAATAAAATTCCGATATGTTACTATCGAATTTTATTTACATTTTTACTCCCTATTTGAAAACAAATAAATAAATAAATAAAAAATCATCATCATGAGTCCAAGTCTTCAAACTTTTAGTTACAGTCACAAAGCACTAGACATGGTCACCGGGTCAACCGATCCGCCGACCCAGCACGGACCTGGCCCGGACTCTGCCCGGTCAAACTCTTTGACCGCGTGTTCAAACCCAACTCGGATTTCAAGCGGGCCGGTCCAGGGCCTTCTTTTTGTCGACACCGACCATGCGGGTCGAGCCGAGTGCGGTTTGGTACGGGAAAAATGAACTGTTTTTGAATTCCTCTTTTTTTTTATTTTTTTATTTTTTTTTTATTTTGCCGGGTCGGGTCATGAGCGGACACGGATTTAGGGCGTGCCGGTTCAGGGTCAAAGTAACCCAACCCTTCGGGCCCGCCATTTGACCATGTCTACAGAGCACACATTATTGATAGTCATATTTTTCAAACCCCCCAACCCCAACAACCCTCACCCCCACACCCCACACACACGCACACACGTATATATATAAAACTAAAATGTTACACTAAAAAAATTAAAAATTAGTATAAATAAATATACATTATTTCATAATATAATTAAATATTTTCATTCAAAAAATATGATATATAATCTGTTTAACGTTAGACCATTTAAAAATAATTATATTTTTGAATCAAAGGTTGTCGAGTAACAATAAAAAACTCCAACGATATGTGTTTGGATTAGACGTGGCCAAAATCCAATCCTGGCCCGCTCCCGGATCGCTTCCTAGAAGACCCTAAACTGGCCCGAAGTGTCAGCTCAAGCTCGGCCTATTTTTTGAATTTTTTGGATTCGTTTTTTATTTCTCGGACGGAGACCCGTCAGGTCTGGGTCAACCCAATCTTCATGCGGGTCAGGTAGATTCTGGTCGTTAGATCCCATGAACGATCAAATGATCCAACGACACGATTAAAACATGTGACTGTTGAGCGAAATACATGTAAGAAAAGTGAAATATTTCAAAATTGCGAATCTATATATATATATATATATATATATAGAAACGTTTAATTATTTTTTAAATAATAACCATTTCCCTAAAAAAAAGTGTTGTTTACTAATATGGAAATTATTTTAAATATTTTATGGTATGTTGTAAAGGTACAATTTAGGTAATTGCAGCTGATTTATTAAGGTAATATTAATCAAATAAAAAATTCTTTTTTTAAATCTATCAATTACATGTGATTTCTGTTGATTTTTAAAGATACAATTTAGACTACTGCGGCTGATTTATTATGGTAATACTAATCACATATATCAGGTTCTAGTATCTCGAGATATACATTCCCTAAAACACTAACTGTAAGAGTGAAGTGTATCATTTGATTTGCGTAATCATATATTTAAAGAAAACTAATAAATATCCACGGTTAAAAAGAAATAAACTTTTAAGCTATTTAAATTGTGAATTTTGAATTATTTATTTTATATTGTGTATTTTTTATATATAATAATTATGAATTAAATATATCTTATAATTTTCTTTCTAAATTTTTTATTTATTATGATTTTGTAAGAATGAAAAGACAACTGACCATATATAAAAACATAACTGATAAATATCCAATACAACAAAATAATAAATTTATTTAATTGCGTGTAAAGTGATATCAATATTCGATATATATGCCTGTATAATCAATTATAAAGATTACGTCGATCTTCTACTTTAAATATGCGTAGAATGCAATCAATACAATTTGTATGAAAGTTCTGAAAATAAGGAAATGAACTTTAAATAAAAAATTTATCTACTGAAATGAATATTTATTATAAATAGATACATAACTAATACAGATACTTAGCACAAATATTCGAATTTATATTTTATATGTGTCTCAAGATATTCAAAATAACCAAGTTATATATAAGGATTTATTTTACAAATATGTGATAGATACCAATTTATAAATAAAAACTGTGTGCTGAGATATTACTTTGCAATATACAAAAAAATCTATTTTCAAATAAATCGGTTATTGTCAAAAAAGCATAAAGAAATGTGTGAATATATGAAATTTTATTAACAAATAAATAGGTTTTTTCCCACATCTACTCAAGAAAAAGTGTTAGGACTGTACATAAAGAACCTTGCAACATATATAAATATTTTTTAAAATTAACTATAATATCAAATATCAAATCATTACTCCCTCCGTTTTTTATTAAATGTCGTTTTGACTTTTTTGATTCATCCATTTTGCTACGTATCTAGACATTAAAAATGTCTAGATACGTAGCAAAATGGATGAATCAAAAAAGTCAAAACGACATTTAATAAAAAACGGAGGGAGTATAATATAACATAAATAGATAATATTATCAAATTAATTACCTTTGCAAATAACCTTTCCCGATTCACAGGTAAAGACTAAAGAAAGGCGTTTTGAGCAAAATAAAAAGAGAGCTTTTAAAAAAAAAAATAAATTGATCAATTTCTAGACCATAAGTTATCTTTTTTACAATGTTTTCAAATCAAAGTATTTTTAGAAATTAATTAAATTAAGTATTTTACTAACTCTATAAATTAATAGATAAGTCATGTAATAACTCACATGCTATATTCTTTTTTAGTTTTGTTTTTAGTCAATTACAGTACTTTTAACATGATGTGCAAATTCGGTTTGCCAAAGCAAGTTTCAAGAATCGATAAACCATGTTTGATGTTGCGGGTAATTTCGAATAATTGTTCGCATTGAATATAAAAACTACATGAAAATTTTATTCATCGAGGAGGTGAGTTTATTTATTTTCATTGCAATTCGTGTTCTTATATAGATAATATCTATAATACTAAAACTAATATTAACATTAATATTCAAAGTTTATTATAATAATTTTAGTACTCACGTGCTTGAATGTAAGGAACGATATTGGAGGTCATAAAACTCTCCGCTCATGTGCTTGAATGTAAGGTATTGATTGGATCTAATGCAGGAGATAAGGTGTTGATACTTCAAATGACTAACAACTTCCGACTTTATAATTTTTTTAAAATTTTAGCGGAGACAATTTCTTCTAATGGTTTTTTATGTCATAACAATTAACAACAGTCAGAGTTAGTCTTTATCACATGTTGACATGTTCTTGAAGAAGTCGGTATTCAGTCACGGCCAGTTGTATGTAGCTGTTCCAGTGTAATTGATCGAAAAGGCCTGAAAATATTAATTTACGGGGGAAGATAGTGTGTCTACAAAGCAAAAAATATTCTCTCCAATGAGGTTTTTAATAATATATAATAATATTCTTTATTTTATTTATTTAATTATTTTTATTCACGAATAGGACTGAGTAAATAACCTTAAAAAGTGCACGCCGTGCATCCTACGGGATATGCACTAGCCTAAGTATAAAACAAAACTTGCCCCTCCTTTTATCAATTTTCTATCCCAGCGAATATAATTAGATTTAATGGGATATAAAAATAATAATTTTTTTTATTAGTACTCATTGATAATTATTTTTTATTCTATTACTGTATTAGTAAAATTAAAAAGTGAAATACAACAAATAATCATTTGGAAAAACCAATTTCGCCTCTTCCCATTGGCCACGTCCCTGTCACCCACATTGTTTCTACGGTCGCCCTTTGTTTCAATCAGATAAGGGCCCCCCACCGCTCAATCTGACGGTCAACTTTTACTCAGCACACGTGTCATCATCCCACTCGATGATCCAAACACTGGTTAGGACTTCAGCTTACCCCAAAAGTGGCACCACCTATAAAAACACACGGAGAGAGAGAGAAAAAAGGTCTTATCTTCTCAACAAAGAGCTTCTTTCAATTCCACCTCACAGAGCTTCTCTGTCTCTCTCTACTACTCAGATCCAGCGCTTGAAGTACCAAATTTTGGTCCTCCCATGGCGTATTCATTCCCGGAGGAAGTGCTGGAGCACGTCTTCTCGTTCCTGAGCTCCGACCGGGACCGTAACGCGGCGTCGCTGGTGTGCAAGTCGTGGTACGAGACGGAGCGGTGGTGCCGCCGCCGCATCTTTGTCGGTAACTGCTACGCCGTCTCTCCGGAAGTCGCGATCCGGAGGTTCCCGGAGGTGTGGGCGGTGGAGCTGAAGGGGAAGCCGCATTTCGCGGATTTCAACCTCGTGCCGGAGGGATGGGGCGGTTACGTGCGCCCGTGGGTCACGGCGATGGCGGCGGGCTACCCGCTGCTGGAGGAGATCAGGCTCAAGAGGATGGTGGTGACGGACGAGTGCCTGGAGATGATCTCAAGGTCGTTCAGGAATTTTAAGGTTTTGGTTCTTTCGTCGTGCGAGGGGTTCACTACGGATGGGCTCGCGTCGATTGCGGCCAATTGCAGGTTATTAATTGGAAGAAAATCGAGTCTTTAAAGTGTTCTGTTGCGTANGGTAGGTTCGTGTAGGCACCTGGTGAAAATGGGAAGAAAGTTTGGATCTTTGAGCTATGAAAAGTAAAAAAAAAATTGAAGAAAAAGTAAAATTTTGGAGGGGATTAGTTCAACTGGAAAGGAAGTCTGGGTGTTGATCTATTAGAAGTGAAAATAATTGAAAAAAAGTTAAATTTTGGAGGGGATTAGTTGAAGTGTAACTATAGCTTGGGTTTTGAGCTATTAGATTTAGAAGTGAAAATAATTGACAAAATGTACAATTTTGAAGGGGATTAGTTGAAGTTGAAAGAATGTCTGGGTTTTATGCTATTAAAAGTGAAAAATTTATGAAAGTTATAATCGGACAGTTTTGCAGTGAATGTTCATACTTAGCAACTGTTGAGTGGCAATATCGTAAATATTGGCTTTCTAGGGTCCAGTGGGTCAACTGGAGCTCGATCTCGATCTAATTTGAAACACTGATATATTACGGGAGAGAAATTTACATTTTAGATTTAGATTCTGCATTTCTTGATTCAAAATACTCCAACAACAAATTTGATCTATTTTTCGAGAGTTTAATTATGCAATCTACAGTGGAGTCTAAGATCTTTACACTTTATTAAATATCATTGTTCAAGTTCATGTAAATCGTGAATATATGATAAAGATCTAAACTTTTCTCTCTTCACATCTTTTTCTTGTAGAAATAGGAATTGCTATTTGTTGAAATCTACCAATTCATTATTCATTATTATAACATCCAATAATTGGGGCCTATTGTTTCCAATACAGGAACCTAAAAGAGCTCGATTTGAGGGAAAGTGAAGTCGAGGATCTTAGCGGGCACTGGCTCAGCCATTTTCCCGACGAATACACTTCTCTTGTCTCACTCAACTTCTCCTGCTTAAGCTCTGAGATCAGCTTCTCGGCTTTAGAACGCTTAGTTGCACGGTCCCCTAATCTAAAAACCCTCCGCCTAAATCGAGCCGTGCCTCTCGATAAGCTAGCCAATCTTCTTCGCCATGCGCCCCAGCTGGTCGAGCTTGGCACCGGCGCGTATTCAGCCGATTTTCGGCCAGATACATTTTCGAGCCTCACAAAAGCATTCTCGTCCTGCAAGAATCTTAAAGGCTTGTCGGGTTTTTGGGATGTGGTCCCGGCTTATCTCCCGGCCGTTTATCCCGTTTGCTCCCAAATCACATCACTCAATTTGAGTTACGCCACAATTCAGTGTTCGGATCTCGCAAATCTCGTTACTCAGTGTCGTAATCTGCATCGTCTCTGGGTAAGACATAACTTAGATCGATCGATTTATCTCTAGCTAATTTTTTCGTGTCGCGATTAACGGTGTGGTTGGATATGGATTTGATTTTTTTTTTGTTTTAACCATAGTTAATTTTGAAAAAAGAAAGTATGGTTAATTGTCAGTGAGAATTTAAGTTTAAATTAAAATATTATGTAAAATAAAATAATTAAAATTGATTTGATGTAAAAATAGGAGAAAGAATTGGAAGCGATGATCAATTCAAATTTAATTATGTGAGTGCATTAATAGTGAATTAAAGCTGATCTGTAAAAACAATTGATTGATATTATTTAAATATATTGATAATATTGAAGATAGTGGGATTTGGTTAAAGTTGAGTTAAATTTTAGTTTTGATTGATTTTTTTTTATCAGGTTCTTGATTACATTGAAGATAGTGGCCTTGAAGCAATATCCGCCTCGTGCAAAAACCTAAACGAGCTTCGCGTCTTCCCGTCAGACCCTTTCGGAGCCGAGCCGAACGTCTCCCTAACCGAGCGGGGACTCGTCTCGATTTCCGCCGGCTGCCCGAAACTGGAGTCTGTCCTCTACTTCTGCCGCCAAATGTCGAACGCAGCTTTGATCGCCATATCCCATAACCGGCCGAACCTAATCCGTTTTCGCCTCTGCATAATCGAGCCTCAGGCTCCCGATTACCTAACCCAAGAGCCGCTCGACTCAGGTTTCGGCTCGATCGTCGAGAATTGCCGGGACCTCCGGCGACTCTCGATGTCGGGCCTGTTAACAGACCGAGTCTTCGAATACATCGGGGCCCACGCCAAGAAACTTGAAATGTTATCAGTGGCTTTTGCTGGGGATGGTGATTTGGGCCTGGCCCACGTGCTGTCGGGCTGTGTGAGTCTGCGGAAGCTCGAGATAAGGGATTGCCCGTTTGGGGACGAGGCCTTGCTGGCGAATGCGGCCAAGCTGGAGACAATGCGATCCCTTTGGATGTCGACATGTGGCGTGAGTTTCGGTGCGTGTAGGCTGTTGGGCCAGAGGATGCCGGGCCTGAATGTGGAGGTTATTGACGAGAGGGGCCCGCCGGAGTCGAGGCCCGAGAGCTGTCCGGTGGAGAGGCTTTATGTTTACCGGACGGTGGCCGGGCGGAGGGGGGACATGCCAGATTTCGTGTGGACGGTGGATGGCGATGATTCGGCTATGGGATTTTCGTGAGAGACTCGGGTAAATGATTTTACTATTTCTTGGTAAAAAAAAGAAAAAAAAATAGAAATCGAAATTGAATAACAAAATTTGCTTTTTTATGTGAATGCAGTCGAGCCAGTCGAGGAGGAGCCCGTCTAACGGTTGAGACGGCGGATCGAGTAGCTTGTTAATTTTCGATGTTTTCTTTCTTTGCTTGGCTGAAGTACTTATTGAGTGCAGTTCAGTTTGGTGCAATAAAGACAGTTTAATGGTTTTAAGTTTTTTCATTGGAGGTGATTAATTGAGTTGGTATACTATGGGAGGTTTTAGGTTTTGTCAAGGAATTTGGTAGACTGATATGTGATAAGATCCATCATCTTCTTCTGTGTTGCTGCGGATAATTTGTCACTTGATTTGGAGAGATGGTTTTAAAAGTCATTGGTTGTTATGTACCCCATGTTGAAGATCATGATGAGCAGCTCCCCATCGTTCTCCTCTGCATGCATTTCCTTTTATTTTCCCTGCTTTTATTTTCTCTGTTTCTTTTATTTTCGAACGGCGTCGTTTCTGATATACTGTACACGACGTCGTTTTCTTCTCTTTTAATTAGTTTTGGGTTTAGTCATGAACGACGTCGTTTTGCTAATCGACGTCGTTTAATTTGTCTTCTTGCATGTTATAAATTCCTCCATGTTCTGATTTTTTGGTTGAATGAAATGTTCTGGAAAATCCAAAACTTTGTGTTGTGATTTTATGAGAATAGGGCGATCGACACCCCATTCTCCTTGTTATCAAATGACTATAAGTCTATAATAATAATAATAATAACCATGCTTTTCACCTTAGTCCAAAAATAATCATAATAATTTGTTTTTTTACTTCCTGCTTTCTTTTTGGTAGCCCAAAATTAGGGCCGAGTATTAGCTTATGATTTTCAAGCTTGTGCTCTACTAGTCTTTACTAGCCAGATTCGCCTAGTTAATTAAACTAGGTTTAAACAAGCTCAAGATCCACTGTTTAACCAATTGAGATTTAAATTTTTTATGAAAATTTTCATTGTAAATTCTTAACGAGCTGACGTAAACACAAATTTTAAATGAGGTTGAGCCTTAATGCACCGGACGAGATTTGTTATTGATTACAGATTAAAATTGGGTTTGATTGACTGTCTTTTTTTTTTTTTTACATTATTTTATTTAAAATACATCTCAAATTTTATTCAACTCAACTATTCTCAATTATCAATATAATTAGACAACACAAATTAATCAACATCACTTTCTTTCGTCTCCTTCTGCAGAAAAGAATTGATGTATATTATATTAATTTTCATTCACTCACGTATTTTTAACATTCTATCATTTTTACATTTTCTCTTATTTTTATATCGTATTGACTTTAATCATTACATGTTAATTAAATACAATTTAAAATTCCATCCAATCCTCCACTGTCCATTCAATCAATTTTATTCAAAATGAATTCACTTTAACATAAATCTAATCAAAATCAGTTTTAGTTATAGACAATCGCCCCTTAAGAGACGTAAGTACAATTAAAGACCCTCTTTTTTTTGGTTTTATTTGATTTATTGGATAAAATGAGTTGAAAGTTAAAAAATATTTAATTAGGTGGAAACTTGGTTTTGATTGTCCGTTTGTAAATGTATATGAGTTAAAATATAATGATTAACGTTGATATAATACAAAAGTAGTAAAATAATAATTGTAAATTACTATTATTTAAAAATATGTGACTGAAGAGTAGTAACTTTTATTGAAAATTGCATAATAATAATTACTTGATATTATTTAAATATATTGAACATAATAAGTCGAATTAGTTTTAAATTCAATATTTTTAATTTATACATATAATTGAGGTTCCGTCCCCAAAAAATTATCCTACATTAAAGT